ACCTCAGATCCCTCAGCTTACCTCATGCGCCATAGATCAAATACGCGCGCCCTGAGGTCGTGGGGAATCGAACGTGCGGAGGCCTCCGGGCCATGCAGACATCCGTTCCAGCAGGTCTAGCCGTCCTTGGACCCGATGAAAAGACGACAGCTACTCCGGGACTTTGCAGGCCATCACTCCCTAGGATGTAAAGTGCGGAGCCGGGAGAGCGTGGGTCCTCCTTCCGACCGAGCCTAAGGTCCTCCCGGGAAACGCTGGCATGGTGCCACGCTCGCACGTGCCCAGACGTCCGGGCAGCACCTCCCCGCATCCCCCACTGAGTATTTCTGTTCGGTTCCAGTTAAGGGACCCGAGAGGACAAACGCCACCGGGCGTTCGTTGTGCCCTGGAACTGGGACAGTACTGCGCCTATTCCGTATGGTCATGAACGGGCCGCCAGGTCAAAGAATGTCCAAGCACCGGGTATGGGTGAGTCTAGCGTCTTGAGCTGGGCGAATAGTGGCAGAGCAGGGGGCCGTGGGCCACTCCCAGACCACGTTCTGTTTTCAAGGAGTTTGCAGTAGTGGGGAGGTGGTCGAGTAGGACCGTGGACCTCTACCCAGGATAGTAGTGTCGCATCCCAAGAAAGGGTTAGAGGTTGAGAAAAGTTTCCAGGCTACGGTAAAAAGTTAGCCTAATCGGCAACAAACTCCTTAGCCAGGCTTGCGAGCAACCTCCTGGCGTGCCTCCTTCAAGCAGCCTCTCTAGCCTCTTTACCCCGTCTAGATGAGGCGTTCTTCCAGATGTAAAAAATTTTACTCCAGAGAGTACCCAAGACATTCCGCATGTGGGGGCCAAAACATTAAAATCTGAGTCCAAATTTGGTCGGTTCATTCTGTTCGGATTGGGTGAAGCAGGTAGGACTCAAATGCAGAATTTAACGAAAAGCGAGCTTTATTAAATAATAAAAGCTGTGGCAAAAAATGCAGTATCCAAAATATCCAAAACAAACGAGCAGCACAAGGAACACAGACCGTGGAATAACATGGAGGGGAAACATTGAACCGACATGGAACACAGGGGAAGTCTAAATACACAGAAGGGTAATCACAGGACAAGACACAGCTGGGCAGGGGAGGGAGAAACACAGGGGCAACAGGTGAACACAATGAGACAATCAGACACACCAGGGAAACTAACGACAGGGAGGAGGACCAGACAAAACACAAGGAGGAAGACAAAACACAGAATGAACAGACTTACAAAACCCATAACCAGACAGACAACACTAAAACCGTGACATAAACCTAAGAGTGTGACAAAAACACACACATACACATACACATTCCAACGTATGTCTTTCTCAACCCTTCATTTACCACACCCACTTTGAAGTGTTGGATTTTGTGATATTGTGTCTCAGCATAATTTAAAAAGGAACTATAATGCATATGTGTTGGTGCTGCATAATAAACAATTTTGTTAAAATACCTAAAATATATTGTAAGTAAATAATTTTAGATCAGACCAAAGACAGATAACCCAAGCATATTTTTCTCACTTGCCACTGGCTTCTGTAAGTGTAAGCTGAATGCTGAATTCTTTTTATTTACTTCATGGTATGGCTTCCCTCACAATTCATCCTGCTACACGCCTCTCAGCCCACATCACATATAGTCCAGTGCCCTATATTGAACATGGTATATAACACTTTATATATAACACTCTTCTACTTGAACTCATGCTGGAATGAAATGCACATGCAATCGTTTCTGGGTCAACTCTGAAGTGTTAAGTGGGCAGTAAGGTCACTCAATCGCAGCTAAAACACACAATTGACCATTAGTCCATGTACATTGTGGGCTGGCCTGCTGTGGGGAAAACATCTGGTGTCTAATCACAACTGGAGTGCCTGCATTATTGCCACACTGACTGATTGATCGTGAAAACAGGGCAGTTATGGAACAGGAGTTAATGGAATAAATTAGCACTACATTGAAAAGGATCACAGGACAAATGAACAAAATATGTGTTTATCCTTTTATCTTTACTTTTTGAAATGCCAGCAAACCACCTACCTCTATCTACCTACAGTAATCATCCAATCAGAGTAGGACCACATATTGATACAGTTAACTGTTGCCAATACCAGAGGGCCAAAGTATGGTTTACACTTGTAGGGAGGGCTGTGTGTCTCTAATAAAATAATATAATATAGAGAAATACCAAATGTAGTGTTTCTTTCTCCAATCAGACCTCCAATCATGCCTTTGTGAGGATGTGCTAGGAATACACTAGCCTCATCCCAATACCCCTCCTCGACTCCTCTCTTCCCCTCCTCCGGGACTTGACCCGGAAATCGATCAAGACACGCCATTTTGAAGGACGTCCCAATAGCTGAAATGCACACGGAGGAGTCGAGGAGGGGTGAGGGAGGAGGGGTGCGGGAGGAGACGAAAGGGAGGATACACGCGAGCAGACTACGCGGAAGTGTTTTCACTACTCGCGTATAAAAGCCCCGCCCCCACCTTCACAGCTGGTCCATTTCAACAGAGGAAAACCGACAACTGGAAGATGAGTGGAAAAGCGTCACATAAATGTATAAGTGCTCACAGCCCCGTGGGAATTATTATGTGCAATTCATTTCTAAAAGGCTTTCACATTACTATAATTATATTTTTATTTAAATGTAGGCTACATTTTACACCAAAACGGAACACAAAAGCAGGAACAACTATCATACATTGAATTCCTTGACTAACAAGAGAAAGATTCATTCATTTAAATAAATATTTAACCAGAAATGGGCCGGTTCTGAAGGGTTATTCAGTTAAGCCCGATGAGAGGGGATACAGGAGCTGTGCACATGTCATCATTAACAGACGTCGTTTAAAAGTGACGTTTGAGTGAACGAGGACATCCCAGCGCCATATAGACTGAGAGTTACGTCATCTCCGTTCACTCCAATGGACCACTTTTTTACAGCAATGGCGTGGAGCCCCTCAATCGTTCCCCGGAAGTTAGCACCAAGGCTAGCAGAGCTGTAGAGTTGCAGCATAATAGACTGTTCNCATTGCATTGATCATGATACATGAACACATTTATTCTGAATGAAATTAATAGATGACATTAACCAGATTAAATGAAACAATTGCGACTACTAATGAGACTGCCTGACACACAAGGCCTTGGTGCTCTTCCTTCAGGCCCCTCGTCAAATGGAGATGGACCCACTAACTTATTCAACAGATGTCGACTGAAGATTTGCCTTTTCCACAATCCTTTATAAAGAAATATGTGGAGAAAAGGGAATGAAACACTGAGTATAAAGAGGCAAGAAAAATGTGAATGGACTAACATACATTATTCATAACCTGACTCTAGGTTCTGTGATGCTGGACTCATAGGAGTTGGCATATAGATCATTATGGTATTGGCTAATTGTTGGAGCTATATATCTCTTTATATTATTTAATAGTTTAACATTTATTTTCTTGCTGTTTATAGTGTTTATTGTAAATGTATTATTAGTTAGTGTCATAAGTTAAAGCAGTTTCTATGCTTTTATTTTGAAGGCATGTTTGGGCACTGGGTGATTAGAGCACCTGGTGTAATTGTTGGAGACAGGTGGTGGTGGGAGCCAGAGCACTAGTAGGCAAACGGTTTTTTATCACGGTGTTTCAAGCCACACAAAGGAAAGCCATAGGAAAGAGATAATAGGAAACCTGTTCATTGTACTTTGTTATTGGAATAAAATGCACAAATGGAGGTTCTTGTCTGGACTTGGATGATCATTGCCCTGCGTAAGATCCGCTAACTAGTGCCTCAGCGGCTGTTTTAGTTCTATAGGATATTGGCCGCTAGACTAATGTTCCTATAGGAATATTCTGCGCTGCCTTTTTTCCTCAATTTCAATTCCTTCAGTTGTATAGTTATGTAGCTTTTATCTCTGCCCATGTCTGATAAGACTTTATGAAACTAAAACTAAAATGAGTTGACAAAACTGTTTCCAGCAATATGAGGCTCTTTGACTGAAGTGAAGGTCAAGGCCTTTAAAAAATATATTTCATAGCCTTATGAAACTAATTATTGGTTAACCATTGATGTGTTGCTTTGTGAATGCCCCAGTGTGACAATATTGTATAACAACATTTGAAATTGTTTTAAAAATCATATACTTTCTGTTTGGATATAACTATCTTCTAATAAAATATTATATAGATTAATATCAGTTATCCAATTACATCTTAATTTTTCTGAGATAACATTGATGAATAACAATACATGTTGGAACACCCAAATCGAAAGCTAAGTATTTTATGCATGTGAGAATGCTATGTCTCAAAACAGAAACTTTATTTCTGATAGCTAAGTGTTTTGATGATGTTGACTTTAAATACATGATCTTACGCCTTGAGTGTCAAACAGAACAATATCATGAGTGTTCATTTGTTTAACTTGTTCTGTAATATTTTGGTTTGCAGACTAACCTTGCTGTAGCTTCATCTGAAAAAGAGAGCCTGAATATTAGATGAAGTGCAACCATTTCTATGAATACTTATAGAGATATTGTCAGACCAGACCGCCATTAACAATCCAGAGGGTCATCAACACTGTCAAGTGGCCTCTGGCAAAGTGAGGGGGGGTCGATGCCAGGAGGAGCGCAGCGTGGAAAAGGGTGAAACTTGCCCTTAAGCAAGTCTAATTGAGCATAATGAATGGTGATTAGGAGGACAAATGAATTTGAAATCTACAACACACAGATAATGCTAGATGTGGATAGCCTAATAGCAAAGTCTACATGACTAGAATTGGATCTCAAACTCAAACATCTATTTTTAATTATGCAATATGCATATCAATTCAAATGACTCTTGGCAAGCCCTTTGTGTACAACGGCTTGGCATTGAAGCTGTTGTACTTGGTATTTATCCGTATGGTTCATTGCACTTATTGTATTGCTTTGGATAAAGGGGTCAGCTAAATTAAATGTAATAAAACATTTAATGTGTGACTACACAATAATGACACTAGATGGAGCTACAAGACATTTTATTTACAAGATCAGAGGACTTTGTCCACTCTGGATATGATATCATCTTTAAGCAACACCAGCTCATCAGGTCAACAGATGACAACACATGGGTACATGATGCAGATTAGCCGTTTCCAACCTGCTGATTGCCCCCATTACTTCTTATTATCCGGATGGATGAGTGACAACTTTAAATGACCAATTCAATCTTCAAATGCCTTTTCCCCCTTTCTGAGCCTTCTTTTAGGTCGTACACAGTGTAAGATTGAAGATTGGGATACTATCTGTCACCAACGTAATGTATTAGCAAACTTAATTAAATATCAAAAAGCTTTTGCTAAGGAGTTTAGCAGATGTTTTGTACAGGGCATTATTTCGGTTTTTAAGAAGATCAGGGATTATATTAAGGAATTATGGTTGTGCCATCCACACTCTGCAGAAGGAGATGATAAATGCACATAAAAGCTGTTTGCCAACCGCCATTAAAACAAATAAGAAGAAATATAAGCACTTGTTGGAGCCATAGACTGTAGGTTGGAGCCAGCGAGCTTCCCATTCATATGAATTCCCTCCTGTCCCAATAGAGGGAGACATTGTGCTACACATAAACCATACAGGTAAGTGGTAGTTATACGACTGTTGTCAGTGTTACACAGTACTTGACCAAAACAATGTTTTTCCCAATTGCAATTAGAAGGTTAAGCATGGTCAGTCTCAGGTCTGTTTACTTTCCCATGTTGTTGAGTGAGGGAGGGACAACCTGTCTCCTTTTACTGCTGACTTTTGAACTCCTCAGGCCTCTGTGGCTAAGCTTCTTTTAGAAAATCAGTACATGTAGGTATAGCATGTTAATAACATGGGTACTTTGAGGATGCATACTTAAATCATTAACATTCTTAATGAACTGACAAGATGTCACAAACCCAATACATTGGGCCTAATAGAGCTACATTCTTATACTGTATCTTATAATATCAGATCTTATCTATATATTTTTTTGCAAAGAGGAACCAAAAGTCAACTCAGCCCAATATATGTTTCATGTTTTAATATTATTGCATAATGATTTAATGTTGAAGTGTCCTACAAACTCACCTTCTGACCTTAGCACTTTTACACTGAGGTATAACAATGTATTCTATTATAATGCAGATACAGGAAAAGAGAATGGATACAAGGCCAAGCTAATTTATGAAATCCAATTGAACCTTTATTTTGTTGAGTACATAGTGCACTTTCACATGAACATAACACTCATTTTGAAAAATACAGATATTTACATTTCATATCTGACAATGACACAGTCTGAATACTTTCGCTTTATGTAGAACCTTGTGAAAAAACTGTCATTGTGATCCAAGCAGCTGTCAGATATAATGCAAATGAATCTAGCCAACAACAAACCTGTCCTTTCTATACAAATTAAGTATATGTACACAGTGAATTAAAAATAAATGAAATGCAAATGGTCTATTTACCAAAATGGGTGAGCTTAGCTTGGCACAGTTTGTTTCTTAGTGTTATGTTAAATACATAGACATGTTAAATGTTGCATGCCATTAATGTGTGGAGTTCACACCATGCAACAAGAAATACTGACAATTACAGTTATGGCACAAGATAAGATGCTTTGTTATTTGTTTACTCACACATTATGCCACATCAAATTTATTTATCATTTTATTTAACACTAAATAAACCACTTAACCTGGAAACAGCGTCTTCCTCTGCACACTGATGATAGCAGTATATGTTAACTAAGAATACAATTATAAAAATATGCATCTATAACTTGGTGTAACATATCTCTGAAGGAGATGTATTTTAAAGTACACAAATAAATACGATTAAGCAGTTTCTTATCTTACATTCACAATGGCTCCATTCCAAAATATTCTTTAACAACCCCCCAACTCATATACATTCTCCATCTCCACACAAACTCCATCTTTACCCCTTTGAAAGTATAAATACTTAATGATTTTGATATCAACACAAACAGTATAGGCCGTGTACAACTTGCTTTCTTTTTAAATGTTGGTTCGATACACTTTTTGTCTTTAATTGCACCACTAACTAAGGACACCACTTAAAACAGGAAACATAGGTTCTCTGAGAATAAAGGCTTATTTATATCTGTATTGTTTGATGTAAAGCAGTCCTTTTCTTAATAGTGTGCTTTGCAATCAAAGCTTTTGTTAACTACAAGAATAAACAATACAACATTAACATTTATATAACCATTATTATATTCAGATGAATGCCTTCAAAGTCATACTGTGTATGCCCGGACAAGCAGCCTACAAAACAAACTTTCTTTTATACTTAACTGCTGAAGGGGACCAATGAACACAGGCTCCCTAATGAAGCATTTCACATGGCGTGATTCAACCATATATACATGTAAAAACTAAAAAGCAGTCTTCCACCTTCAGTTACAGTTTAAAGGAAAACACCTGTGGCTACATAATCAATAGCCACTATTCACAGGACCTACAGGAGGAATACAAGTTATTCTGTCTGTTAACTGAGAGCCAGTGTGATCAGCAAGTGGTTTAGAGATCATACAACCCTTTAGGCCTATTCAAATGATTTGTTTAAAAAAGATCATAGTTGAAATCCACATTCATCATGTGTTTGATAAGCCTAAACTGAGTTCTAGTACAAGACTTTACATGGACATGCCTAACAGTATAATATTGAAAAAGCTATTTTCCAGCACAAACTGGGGATGTGAGTGAAAGTTCCTTGTGTTCACTAAAACAGCTTACAATTTGAAAAACAGGATCTTAAAAATCTCAAGTCTGCACAATTTGTGCTTTTACCTTAGGAAATGTTTCTCTAAGCACCTTATAAGATTAATCATTTTCAGAAAGTGTTTCCTTTACCTAGGTGATTTAACTAGTTTCTGCTTTCATGGCTGAAAGTACATGCATTTGATTTTAAAAAACTTGCACTCTGAGTCCATTGCACTTCGTTGCCTATCCAGTTCAGAACGCTGCATGTCTGCAGAGGTGCAGTGTGTACTTCAGTCAGAAAGCTATCAGGATTGGATTGTACTATACACACCAATAGTGAGCTGGCCTGCTGCTTCTCACTTTACTCCTTTCAGAGGACTTCTTCCTACCAACGCTTTAGCAGGTTTCTAGTTTCTACCACTAACAACTACAGAGGAAAGTACAACCTGGTCAAACCCTTCCCCTTCTCATTCTCTAACAGCTCCCTGTGACACAACACTGAGCTGAGGAGAATAAAGGGAACCAGCTAACCCTCACCTCAGGTTTTGCTCCCCACAGAAGCAAAAAGTGTAAACAAAGAAATCGGCAGTAGAGGGTATAGAGAAGAGGGGTGCGATTAAAGATAATATCAAATCATCGCACCACTATACACTAATATCGAGATAGATATAGATGACCCCTGCGGTGCTGACTTATGGTCTGCCTCAGCACGGTGAGGAGGACACTTGTTCGTACTCGGGACACTTGAGGAGAGCAGGGTAGCTGGCGGCGTTCATCTGGAGCGAGGCCTCGGAGGAGATGGAGGAGGCGCTTCGTCCGCGCCCAGCCCAGGCGTCCGGGTGGAGGAACTGGCCGGAGTAGTCGGAGCAGTTGCTGAGGCGCGGCCGGTAGAAGCCCTGGTGAGGCCGGTACATCTCCTCTGCTGTGTAGCGCTTCATGAACAGGTACACCGACATGACTCCTGCAGCCTGGGGGAGGGGAACCAGGCAAAGGGGCACACAGCTTACTTTACTCTCCAAATATACATTGTTTTTCATAACACCTGTGGAATTCAGGTCACTTTCCACCATAGAAAATAATCATTTCAATTACAGATTAGAATCAGAATACCTTTATTAGTCCCACAGAGGGGAAATTTGCAGTATTTGCATTATAGAAATAGAAACCTTTTTTAATGATAAATGATTTCCCCCTTTAACTATCAGCAAAAGTTAACCTCGTAAATTGACATTTTGAATAATGGTTTAGTTGAATTGGTGCTATGTGGATTTTTTTATTTTGCATCCTTTGTTTAATACCTGCTCTTTTATACTGTCACTATGACAACAGACCTTTGGGAATAGTTAGTATCAAAAGCAACGTGCAGTCCTTTAATGTTTGGTTAAAAGCCAGCATGAACTATCCACTGCTAAAGGATCAGAATAAAGATATGAATAATAACTTAAAATATCATCTTCAGTGGACTATTTGTCACAACATAATACATACAGTTGTGCATGTCTGAACAAAGGGATTTGGCTAAATAAAGACACTAAAATGCAAAAAACCTAACGTTTTTTATGTCCATTTTGTGAAAGCTTAAGGATGACATTCCTCACAACGAGGCCAATTTCTTTAGATAATAATTCAAGGACAATGCAACAACAAAAAAGAGATGTAAAAAAGTGAAAACCACATTTCTTGTGCATTAACATAGTTATGAAAATGTTAATTGTAGACCAATTCCCAACAACATAATAAAGGCACCTTGACAGCTACATTGGTTTGTTATAAAATAGTTAGAGAACTGGTTATGATGCATGCTTGGGAAACCTGGCCATGCAAATTATAATGTTTTATTATTTAGATTTTATTTTGTGACGTTACCTCAGTGAGCAGGAAGGAGATGGCAGCAAAGGCAAATGACCAGCCATACTTGTAGATGAAATAAGCCTCATTGGTTTTGGTTCTGTTCAACATCTCATCATTAATATTGGAGATGTACAACACCAGACCAACCACCAGAGCGAGACCTGAGGCAGACAGAGAAACAAACACAGAAACACTTTAATGGCTGTAGATAAAAGGGAGGGGGTGATTCCAAACAGGCTTGTTGCCATACAGTATTAAAAGCAATATTATTATGTGTATGCAACACTGTGCTTTCTTTTTAAATGTAATTGAAACACTTTAGACCTGAACCAACTCAGTACCATGACAACATTATCACATGCATCTATCAGGTATGTACATTTGTGATGATATTATTGATTTGGAGATGTGAGTTCAAACTTAATCAAATACCTGACAGGATGAAGAAGATTCCAGAAATGAAGGCCAGGATGGTGCGGTGAGGTCGGATGTGGCCGATGTTGCTGAGTACAAAACCGATGAACATGAAGAAGAGGCTGACCAGAGGAAAGGGTGTGGACGAGCGGATCATCTCTGGAAGAAGACAAGGAAAACTGTCATTATCACTTCTATGGGACTCTGATGTTTCAACTGACTTTGTGAAACTCTGAATTGAAGTTTGACTTCAGAAGTTGTTTCTACTGAGGCTGGTCTCAGTATCTCACGGGTTCAGGTCATGGTTGCGTAATTATATCAACATGAAGCTGGACTTCCCTACTGTGAGTAAATGGAACAGCCCCTCCCAGAGGAAAAGCAAGTCTTTAATGCTGCTTTCTGGACCCCCATTGTGTTCTCCATTACACAACATGTCTCTCCTCCTGCTAAGTGGACCAGATGTTTCAGGGTTTATCCTTGATGAAACTCGCTCTTTATTGTGCCACTGACTATCCTTTAACAATCCACCCTAGATATTGAACATCACAGAAACTTGTTAGAATGTAAAAAGTGAAAGTGAGTCTTTTCAGATTTGTGTCATGTCTGAAACAAGGGCACATTCAAGAAAAAGTTGGGTTCTGAATAAAGAGTGACATCTAATTTGTTAGGTATATTAACTTAATTTTACTGGTGTGACAGGAAGTGTACTTACATTAATGGCTCAACCTTGTGGCAAGACATATTTGTGCAGTATGATTCTCGATTTTAACTTTCATTTTGTTTTAAGAAAATAGATAATTTAGCTGCATTATAAGTCAATCCTGACTGCAAATATTTGATTTGATTTAGGCACTCTTATTATATCTTTCTCACATGTACACTTCCTTATTCACTATAGTGCATACACGTTAACGTTTGTCACTATTTCTGCCTTCTTTTTCACCCCGACATCTTTACATTCTTACAATACTCCTGTCTCAGTTCCATAACTTGTACACAGGTCAGCCTTAACTCAAGTTTGACTTGTCAGAGAACTGACAAAACATGCTGCATCAAATCAAATCTGTCAAACAAGAGACACCCAAGTAAACACCAAAGTTAATCTAAAGTTTGGATCATTTCCCCAGTGTTATGTTAACTACCAGTTAAACAGTTTGTTCCTGCTTTACTGCAACAGTATAGGGTGGATTGAAGGGCAACTGGAAGCTGAGGTAAGGCAAATTTAACAAATCATTCAAGCTTCTTCTACAACCACGAGCTGCTTCTTTCATTAAAAGCTATATATTTCAATAACACAACACTGTAGTTTTCATCAACTAAAGCATTCCTTATATTTGGAGAGTAGAAATGTACTTACTCAGGACACTGATTGTTGAATCAGAGGTCATCTGGATGCTAGTGGGCATCATGTACTCAATAGTAAAACACCGGCCTTTCTCCTCACCTGAAGCAAAGAAAATTGAAAGGAGAATATAGAATTAAATATCACAGAAATCTTGAGGAATCAGGATTCAGCACCACAGATCAAACCGGGAATTAGTGAACTGTGAAAAGAAAAGTCATACACAAAAGCATGTACAGTATAATAGCAGAATACACAGACATATTGTACAGTTTGCATGATTACACATATCCTGGCTAAAATAAATCAGAAATTGTTGTATGTACTTCAAGGATTCCTCTTTGAAGCTTTTAAAAATTCTACTTAAGCAAATGTGAAATGATTTTTTGTAATGAGTATGTGTGTGAAAACACCCAGCATTAGATTTTAGCAACTTTCACTTTATCACTTTGACACATACAGTATAACGTTTGGCACCAAAACTGTTACGATTGGGTGAAGCAGGTAGGACTCAAATGCAGAATTTAACGAAAAGCGAGCTTTATTAAATAATAAAAGCTGTGGCAAAAAAGGCAGTATCCAAGTCGAAAAAAATACGATGTCGTCTGCTTAGAACCATGAGAGACCTCATTGTAAAACACATGCACCCGATACTGCGGGAGAGATATGCCCCATCTCACCGAACGAAACTTCCTCCGTGCCTTGGTCCTCCAGACGAGCGTTCGGGACCGATTCCTAGGTCCTCAACCAACGGACTAATCCGATATTGAAAAATGGTCATTAGGACCTTTTTGAAAAGAGTTCGGAGATGAGGAAAGGACCCTAGGCTGATTGATAGGACCATCTACAGGTGCCACGAAGGTTTCCCGGAGGTCCTCTTGCGTCCCGGTCCTAAGGGTCGGGGCCCCGGGGTCGTCGGTAGCCAGGGTCTTGTCAAGGCCGGGTCGTGGTACCAGGGTCTGTGTCAAGCCGGGGGTCGTTTGGTACCAAGGCCGGGTCAAGGGCCGGGGTCGTCGGTACCAGGTGCTTGGGTACAAGACCGGGTCTGTACCAAGGCCGGGGTCAAGACCGGGGTCGTCGGTACCAAGGTCTGGGTCAGACCGGGGTCGTCGGTCCAGGGCCGGGGTCAAGACCGGAGCCGTCGTACCCAAGGTCTGAGTCAGACCGGTACCAGCGCCGGGGTCAAGGCGGGGTCGTCGGTAGACCAGGGTCGGGGTCAAGACCGGGGTCGTCGGTACCAAGGTCTGGAGTCAAGCCGGAGCCGTCGCGTACCAAGGTCGACGTCAAGACGGGGCGTCGGATACCCAGGGGCCGGGGTCAAGGGCCGGGGTCGTCGAAACCAAGGTCTGGTCAAGACCGGGTCGTCAAGGTAACTCAGGGCCGGGGTCAAGACCGAGAGCCGTCGGTACCAAGGTCTAGTCAAGCCGGGTACCAGGGCCGGGTCAAGCCGGTTCGTCGGTACCGAGGCGGGTCAAGACCGGGGTCGTCGGTACCAAGGTCTGAGTCAAGACCGGGAGCCGCGTACAAGGTCTGAAGTCAAGACCGGGGCCGTCGGTAACCAGGGCCGGGGTCAAGGCCGGGTCGTCGGTAGCCAAATGGTCTGGGTCGAAGACCGGGTCGTCGGACCAAGGTCTGAGTCAAGACCGGGGTCCGTCGGTACCAGGGTTCTGGGGGTCAAGGCCGGGGTCGTCGGTACCAAGTCTGGGTCAAGGACGGCTGTCCGGGGTACCAGGGCCGGGGTCAAGACCGGAGTCGTTCGGTACCAAAGGTGCTGAGTTCGAAGACCGGGGCCTTCGGGTACAGGGCGGGGTCAAGGCCGGGGGTCGCGGTACCAAGGGTCTGTGGTTCGAGACCGGGGTCTGTACGGTATTCAGGGTAGAGACCAGGAAGAGATATCAGAGAAGGAGTCTTTCAGGATTGAGTTACAGGGAAGAGATCAGGGATAGAGACCGTGGGGAGAGATTTCATGAGATGAGTGCTGCCAGGCTGGAGAGATTCGAGGGGAGAGATCAGGTAGGAGATCAGGGAAGGTACATGGGAGTGAGTCCAGTGAAGGATCAAGGGAAGAAATCAGGGAAGAGGTCAGGGTGGAGATCATGTGAAGAGTTCATGGTTGAGATCAGGGAATGAGAGTCAGGGAAGAGGTCAGGGGTGGAGAGAGCGCAGTGAAGAGATCAGTGTAGAGGTTCATGATGGAGATCAGGGAAGAAATCAGGGATGTAGTTAAGGAGAAGACTTCCAGGAGGAAGGATCAGGTGATAGGGATCAGGGAAGTAAGATCAGGGTAGAGGTCAGAGGAAATTCAGTGAAAGAATTCATGGGAAGAGTTCAGGTTTTAAGATCAGGGTAGGTTTCGAAGGGTTCAGCGGAGACGCTCGTAGGAGAGGTCAAAGAAGAGTTCAGGAGGAGGACGGTAAAAAGAGAAGTCAGTGCGAGAGTTTGGGGGAGGAGCCTCAAGGGAATAGTTCAGTAGAGAGCTCAAGGGAGAGTTCAGTGGAGATCTCAAGACAGGACAGGGCGCAACCCCCAGGGCGCTGACGAGAGACGGCCCCCAGGACGGTTGGGACCCACCAGGACACGGCAACCTCCGGGGCGGCTGATGAGAAGACGGCCCCAGGGACGGTTGGGATGACAGGCACCGGCAACCCTCAGGACGGCCCCCAGGACGGTTAGGACACAGGACAGGGCAACCCCAGGGACGCTGATGAGAGGACGGCCCCAGGACGGTTGGGGATTACAGGACAGGGCAACCCCCAGGGCGGCTGATGAGAGGACGGCCCTCCAGGCCGTTGGGATACAGGGGACAGGGCAACCCCTCAGGGCGGGCTGATTAGAAGAAGGGCCCCAGGACGGTTGGGATACAGGACAAAGGCGGCCGCCAGGACGGTTGGATACAGGACAGGGCAACCCCCCCAGGGCGGCTTGATGAGAAGACGACCCACAGGACGGTCGAGGTACAGGTCAGGGCAACCTCCAGACCGGCTGATTGAGAGGGACGGGCCCCCAGGGACGGTTGAGGACCAGGAGAAGGCACCCCTAGGACGACTCCGGACAGGGTGACCTGAGGCCAAGGACAAGCCGGTTGGTGGCCAAAGAACGGCCGAGGGTCCCGACAGACCAGAAGCGGAGGCCTCGGGCCGGGGACTTCACAGCGCCAGAAGCAGGAGCCCGGGCGGGGGACTGAGAAGGACGGGCGACGAAAGGCGGGAGGTACGAGCCGGACTCAAGCGGGCGAACACTCAGCAGAGCGGGGGAGGTACCTGAGACGTGAACGGTGCCCGGAAGGCGGACTTCTGGTGGAGGAACCAGAGACGGAACCGGGGGCCCGCAGGCGGCTCTGGGCAGAGGTCTGGAGGGTGCTGGGTGAAAGACCCGGGATCATACACAGGAGGAGGGGCAGGGGGGAGGTGGGTGTGGGACGGACCTAGAAAAAAAAACCCTGCAGGAACCTAGGGCAGGGAACTCCCCCCCCAAAGACAGGTGTGAGGATCCCCAAATACAGTGCCAAAAAATCACAACAGACAGGACCAATACCCAAAACATCAGACAAGTAAGACACAAAAAACAGAAGGAGGACACAAAACAGACCAGGAGGAGGGACACAATCAAAGGGACCACCACAGGAGTAACACAAGTGGGACAGAACGGGAACACAAAGAGGGTGGGACGGGTCGACACAGAAACAGGACACTAATGGGAAGAACACACAAATCAGGAATCAGGAGGGGACACAAGGTCAGCCAAGTTACAAAGGTGGAGGTACAATAAGGTGCCAGACACAAGGAACAACGACGANAAGACATCATGAAAACACTTTTATCTGATCCTAAATGACATGTTATTGGTTTGAACCTCGACACCAGACGGGAATGTTTGCTACATTAATCTCCACCGCTCATTAGCTCCAGCGTTAGCTTCAACCCGACAATTTAATTTATGAGAAGCAGCTGCCTGCTAATTTCTTCTTCCCTTTAAATCTGTCCATCCTGCTGATGTCAGGTGGGATCGTTCCTCTAATGATTATCTGGATCTGCACCGTGTCTTTAACTAAGGACGGACTTTTACTGCTTTAAGAAAAAGTGTGCAGCAAAAAAAATCTTTTTCCATAATTGTTACGATTGGGTGAAGCAGGTAGGACTCAAATGCAGAATTTAACGAAAAGAGAGCTTTATTAAATAATAAAAGCTGTGGCAAAAAAGGTAGTATCCAAAACAAACGAGCAGCACAAGGAACACAGACCGTGGAATAACATGGAGGGGAAACAATGAACCGACATGGAACACAGGGGAAGACTAGACTAAATACACAGAAGGGTAATCACAGGACAAGACACAGCTGGGCAGGG